TTTAAGACACGGCTGCTTATAAATAAAGAGTGACTGAGACGGTGTAGACAAACTCTCCACTACAACTGATAAATGCACAATGTCAAGGTCTATGAGGCTTATACTTTTGATGTTAAAAGGCATTAATATTTGAGATAAATCTAAGTTTGGAGGGCATTTGTGTGAATGTGTCAACATTTCTCCAAGCAACAAGAAATCACTACTACTAAAATAAGCCTAATGCTTATATTAGTAGTAGTTTTATTCAGTGAATTTATTTTAATTGGTTTGATTGAATTCAAACATCAGATATTTAACTATCTATCTATCTGTCTGTCTGTCTATCTATCTATCTGTCTCTATCTCTCTGCCTGTGTCTATCTATCTATCTATCTATCTGTCTGTCTGTCTATCTATCTATTCAATTCAATTCAAAATTGCTTTATTGGCATGACTGTAAATGATGCAATATTGACAAAGCTTAGCATACATGTACAAAAAGATAAAAAAATAATAATATAATAACAATAATAATAATTACAGTTTTTCTCAATTGCTTTGGCTCAATTCTTGAATGAATTTTTTTCCCCCCGAAACAATAAGTTCAGATCTCTGAACAATTAGCTTCTTGTTCACATCAGATTGGAATTTCTTATTGATTTGAGCAAATTGCAAATGCTTTGGCACATGTGTGCAAACAGTAAGTACAATTGTCTGCAGTTTGCACAACAACTAATTGCATATGGCTTGTTGATCAAAACTGATGAGTCGATTCTCACTTAAACTGTCAAACTCTTCACAACTTCTCAATCATTTTTCATCGTGTAAGCCATCACATTCAAAACGATCCATTCAATTATGAAAAATTGGTATACACGCATGTATATTCCATAAATATCTGACATTGACATTGTTTGTAATGTCTGCTAAATTGGCAAATGACCTCTAATTGCAATACAATTTGAATCAACCATTCAACCATTTAACCAATCAAGTTTGGGAGCATATATATGTAGATTGCCCACAGCACAATCACTAACATTTTTTGAGAATGGAGGACTTCCACAACCCTGAACTGCAGCAACATGCTCGTGGAAGAGCAATTGGAAGACGTGTAAGAATACGTGGTGGTGGTGTTAGAGGAAGACATAATAGAGGAAGAGGTGGAAATAGAAGAGTCAGAGTCTCTGATGAAATCAGAGCCACACTTGTGGATCATGTCATAAATCGTGGTTTTACAATGGAAGAGGCTGGTCGAAGAGTACAGCCTAATGTAAACAGGTCCACAGTGTCATCAATTGTGCAAACCTTTCGTAGGGAAAACAGGTAAATATGTATTTATTTTTTTGTTTTACAGTATGTAAAGCATTTTTATAAACAACAATATTGTAAAGGTAAATGCAAGTCTATTTGAACATTCTATAAAACCGCACAACAACCTCGCACTGGTGGCAGAGCAGCAGTATTTAACCATCAGCAAGAACAAGAAATTTGCAACATGGTCATAGCCAACAATTCCATCAGGCTAAGAGAGATCCAAAGTGCAATCATAAATGACAATAATGTCTTCGCAAATATAAATTCTGTCAGCATTTCCACCATAGACAGAGTTTTGAAAAGACATAGTCGATTCTCACTTAAACTGTCAAACTCTTCACAACTTCTCAATTATTTTTCATCGTGTAAGCCATCACATTCAAAATGATCCATTCAATTATGAAAAATTGGTATACACGCATGTATATTCCATAAATATCTGACATTGACATTGTTTGTAATGTCTGCTAAATTGGCAAATGACCTCTAATTGCAATACAATTTGAATCAACCATTCAACCATTTAACCAATCAAGTTTGGGAGCATATATATGTAGATTGCCCACAGCACAATCACTAACATTTTTTGAGAATGGAGGACTTCCACAACCCTGAACTGCAGCAACATGCTCGTGGAAGAGCAATTGGAAGACGTGTAAGAATACGTGGTGGTGGTGTTAGAGGAAGACATAATAGAGGAAGAGGTGGAAATAGAAGAGTCAGAGTCTCTGATGAAATCAGAGCCACACTTGTGGATCATGTCATAAATCGTGGTTTTACAATGGAAGAGGCTGGTCGAAGAGTACAGCCTACCTTTGTAGGGAAAACAGGTAAATATGTATATTTTTTTTGTTCTACAGTATGTAAAGCATTTTTATAAACAACAATATTGTAAAGGTAAATGCAAGTCTATTTGAACATTCTATAAAACCGCACAACAACCTCGCACTGGTGGCAGAGCAGCAGTATTTAACCATCAGCAAGAACAAGAAATTTGCAACATGGTCATAGCCAACAATTCCATCAGGCTAAGAGAGATCCAAAGTGCAATCATAAATGACAATAATGTCTTCGCAAATATAAATTCTGTCAGCATTTCCACCATAGACAGAGTTTTGAAAAGACATCAAATGACTCTGAAACAACTCTACAAGGTGCCATTTGAGAGGAATAGTGAAAGAGGGAAGGGTCCCAGTTTGCCCAAGTAAACTATTGGTGTGCACTTAGTAATTTTTACGTTACTTCTAAGATGCCTATATTACTTAAAGTTTTAGAAACCCATAAGAAGAGAAAACATTTACTGAATTCTAGAATTAGTTAGACCACATTTGCCTAATTATGTTGTTGTCTGGGATAATGTCAGCTTCCATGCTGCACATGAAAGGATAACAGTGGAGTTCCTTCCACCATACTCTCCATTCCTAAATCCAATAGAAGAGTTTTTTTCAGGATGGAGGTGGAAAGTATATGATCGTAGACCACAAGATCAGATGTCTCTGTTGGATGCCATGAATGCTGCATGTGAGGACATCACAGCTGATCATTGCAGGGGATGGGTGCGGCATTCAAGGAGATTTTTTTTTTCCCCGGTGCATGGCAATGGAAAACATCAGATGTGATGCTGATGAAAATCTTTGGCCTGACCAACAAGAGCGAGAGGATGTCCACCAAGAATAATTTTTCATGGATGTTATTTGTGTATTTGTGGTAACATAAGAAATATGAAATGTACAGTAATTGGACAAGCAAGATTTCACTTTACATGTAATACATTCGTACAAAAATAAATGTACTGTATAAAGACAAATGATTTTTTTTTTTTTTTCTCTTCTATGTACTATTGACTCTTCTCAACAAATATCAGAATTTGTTTTTTTTTTTTTTTAAAGAAAACCTTAATTTCCATGGTTGACTGTCATGGTGAAAAAACAACTAAACATTTTGACTAGTGTGGCTCACACGATGACAAAATTACTTTATTTTGGTGGCCTTGGCCAAATTACTGACACGATAACTAGGTTTTGAAGCATGAATGAAATGTTTTGGGTGAGTAAATACATTTTGCAGACATGCAATAAAGTTCTGAAGTTCCAGCCAACAGTTGTGACATTTGCACTCACAGTTTAGAGAATGTTAAGACTGTTTTGAAAAATGTGCGAAAGCAATTGAGAAACTGTAAATGAACATCACAGTAATAGAATGGAATATTATAACATCTTAGAAGTATTAAACTGTAACAAATTATAACGTGTGAACATTTGATACCACAGTCTTTAACTTACATAGAAACACACATACAGTACATACTAAGAATCACTGTGGTGGACATGTAACACACTGAGGTCAGACACAACACACATTCACCTGCTGTCTCTCTCTCATTCTCACACACACACACACATTCACCTGCTGTCTCTCTCTCATTCACACACACACACATTCACCTGCTGTCTCTCAGGCTGTGGCACATCCACACGTATCTCGCAGTGAGTGCTGCTGTCTGTCCCTCTCCTAATAGTATCGTTATTTGTTCTGTTTCACTAATGGCTGTAAAGTTCTTTAAGTTGGTGAATTTGTTGAAGTAGAGGTTTCTTATGGATATGTATTTATGACAGTGAAGGAGGAAGTGCATCTCTGCCTCAATCTCTCCTGTCTGACAGTGAGCACACACCCTTTGCTCTCTGGGTAACCAGTTCTTTCGGTGTCTGCCGGTCTCGATGGCTAGACTGTGCTCGCTGAGCCTGTACTTGGTCAAGATCCGTCTCTGCTTTGTGTCTCTGACACTCTGGAGATAATCTTCCAATTCATATCTTCCAATTCATTTGATTTTAGAGTTCGATAGAATTGTAATTTACTTTGTGTTTTAGTTTCTTGATCCCAGTGTTCCAGATATGTATTTTTAGATTGTTTGATATGGATCCATCCATCCATCCATCCATCTATCTATACTGCATTTTTGTACGGTTTTGATATGGTTTGCACAAAATACGTATTACATAAAATACGCACAAACTCAACTATGTACATTAATTATTCATCAATGCGGAGGACGCTGATCACTGCTAATATCCATCAAAGAGTTTATGTCTGATTATATCCCGCTACGTTGCTGTCCACTAGCGGCGAAGGCGTGCGCTGCAGCCTCTGAGTGAGCACTAGCCTGTGGAGAAGACGGAGTCCAGTGTGTGCGAGAGGGACAGTCAGGCTCGAGGTCTGTTGGGTTCAGCCCAGCAGAGACGCACCGCTTACTCTGTACTCGGACCGGGACTCTCGATTCTCGCTAAAGCAGAAGGCTTGCATTATCAGGTTGAATACCTCCCATGCTAACGTACATTCATATTTCAGGATTGAAGAGTGCCTCACTGCAGCTGGCTTGATATTAACTTGGTGAGTGGATCTTTGAATTCTGGATCAGCTAACTTGCTAATATGTGAACTAAACGAATTTTATGAAGAAAAAAAAACGTCAGTAGGTCTAGGTTGGCACACGCCCTGGAGGTAGCCGAATTATTATAACCGCGCAGAGATAATGGCTATAGTGTTTAGTTGGAATGGGAAGCAGGCTAGGTTCTGTGTGTCCGTCCTTAGCATAACAGCAGCCCTAAAGGCTGTTTCAAAACATAGCGAGGTGTCTATGCAGACAGCATTTTTGGGCGTGTTCGAGCGATTCCCCAAAAGCTGTCTAGGTAGGCAGCTCACTAGGTTTTGAAACAGCTCAAAGTCTCTCTGGATCATGAACCTCATTTACCTTCTCCACAGTTTAGCCTAGCTTAGCCAGTCTGCTACTGCTCTGGACCGGTTTTGTGTTGTATAAACATCTACATTGCCCCAATATTTTCTAAAAGCGTTTGTAAACATAAAACAGCGCTGGAAATTGGGGTTTATGTTATAGTTTTATCCGTCCACCGCAACACAACTCGACATTAGCCGCCGTACTGAATCTAAACTGGTCGACTAGCTGTTAGCAAGCTAACAAGCCAGAGAAGAGAAAGAAGTTTGGACAGTATTAAGTCAATTTTCTTCTGCGTTTGAATTGGATTATTTGGGAAGTTGTGTGGTTGTTTGAACGATTACAGGTCAGTATCTGTTTCTTTCTAGATTTATGGTTGATATTGAGTTAATATTACGAATGTATTTCCAAATGCATTTATTACTCGAAATAGTTGTGTGGGTACACGTTGTGAATTTTACTGTTTTTCTTTTGTCAGATCTTTTAAATGCACAGTTTGCAACTGTAAAGGAAAGCAGCCTGGTATTGACTCAAATCTAAAGGTTATGTTTTTGTAAAGCAGATTAGTAAAACTAAAATGTAATTATTCACTGTGCAACCCAAATCAGTGCTTAAGCAGAATAAACAACACTATGACAGAATTTACTAAATATAGTCAAATCTCCTGATCGGTAGATACTGTGGTGTGACCTCCACAAACAAATCAGTGTTTGGTTGTAGGGTTGTAAAAAAGAATGTGCTTGTTAGTTTATAATTAGATTTGTGGCTTTATTTAAGCCTTTTATGTATTAGGGAGCTCATAAATACGTTATAGTGCTGATGAAGTAATTGGAGTCTTAAGGTCTCTCATTGAGATTTAGATTAACCTTCATGTGTCGAGAAATTTAGCCGCTCTGGTCAAAGCGAGTTGCAAGCCCACCAGATAAACAACATTGGTCAAATATTTTTGCACATGCTTATTTAGCTGGGGTACACTCGCTTTCTGTCTGAGCAGGGTCTTTGGGTAATATTGGCTGTGGGTGCTGAAAAACAGCTTTGTGGGAAATCTGTGCAGTGGTTGCGGCTGGAATATCTGTTAGTGCACAGCAAAACATGTTAGGGCAGCAGAGTGGTTTGTCTTTGGGATTAGGGGGAGAGGCTCTTGTTTTGCTGGTTGAAAAGCTGCATCTGAATGGAAAGATTAGAAGATTTAATAATGAGAAATGACAGGTATTCTGAACCTCCTTGCTGAATAGCCAGAGACGTTGAATGTCTGTGCTCATGCAGGTATTTACCTCTGGTTTGAATGTGAATGACGGAGTCAGATGGAAACCGGGGGCATGGAAATAGGTGGCTCACAATTTGTGTGGCTCTGTGTGAAGCAAGATAAATATCAAATTGAGTTTTTCATTAAAGAAAGGAAAAAGACCTTGCCGGCAATGCAGAGAGAACCCGAGTATGACCTCGAGTCAACAAAGGAAGATTTCAGACCACCTCTGGCTAACAGCGAAGAGCTGAGAGTGGTGAACTTAGAGTCAGCAAGTTGTGTGGCTCTCTCAACATCAGATCTGGTGTTTGTCTTCCATTCATCGTGCAGTGCATTTTGACATGCACACTTTAAAGTGATATTTAAAAGTTCAATACAAGTTAAGCTAATTTGTCTATTGCTGCAACTAGGGCTGTGCAAAAAATCTAATGCGATTTTGAACGCGATTTTGAGTAGCTTGTCAGTGATCTGCGGCTCTGTGTAGTAAATGCCGCTCCATCTGAAAGCACGTGCTGGAGATTTACTACTAGTCACCAGAAGCGACTTTACTGATGAGATTCGCATGAAAATCGCATTCGATTTTTTGCACAGCCCTAGCTGCAACTAGGGCTGCACGATAAATCGCATGCGATATTTAACGCGCATCTTATCAGTAAAGGCGGTTCTGTAATCAGCGGTAAATCTCCATCACGTGCGTGCTTTCACATTGAGCAGCATTAACTACACAGAGCCGTTGTTCACTGACGAGCTGCGCAAAACCACGTTCATATTCGCGCGATTTTTTGCGCAGCTCGTCAGTGAACAACGGCTCTGTGTAGTTAATGCTGCTCAATGTGAAAGCACGCACGTGATGGAGATTTACCGCTGATTACAGAACCGGCTTTCTGACAAGATGCGCATTAAATATTGCATGCGATTTATAATGCAGCCCTAGCTGCAACTAATGATTATTTTGATAATCCATTAATCTGTCGATTATCATTGATTAATTGGATGCAAACTGCCAAATTATAAAAAAAAGTTATTACATCCTGCCCAGTGTTGTTCTCCAAACAGTATGCAAAATCAAGAGTATATGGATAGGCTCTCGTAAAAAAAAAAACCTGGCATGTAGCAATTTAAATGTAAATTTAACGTCCAACAAAATGAATATTCAACAAAGAAAGTCAGAATTATTGTTTGATGTGCACGTGGGCGTTCGTTCAGTGAAGTTTGTGAAGTTTAATGGAGACTTGTTTTCTGTCAGGATGAACCTTTATGCAAAATTGAATATATTTGTGTGACTTTTATTTACAAATAAGGATATAAGTAGGGTTGGGTACCTAAACTCGGTGCCATGTAACCAGTATGTACTAGAACCGAATCAGAACGCAGATTTCAGTGCCTCATTTCGGGTGCCACCTAAATGCCTGAGAGATCGATTGAAATATGTGTCCTCTGGTTCTCCGAAATGGATGTAATCACTGGCACCGCACGTGAAAAAGAATTTCCAGACTGAGAAAATGCACATGAACGCAAGTCGGAAATACAAATCCAACAAATCTTTGTAGTAACGTGAGTGTTCATGTTGTTTTCACTTCCCGACTTAAAAGCACAACGCACACCCATACGCCGTAGCCTGACGTGCACCTCTCCAAACAGCTGTATCACAGGCGCACCAGCCTAACTAACTCGCTCGTCTCTCCCGCATTAACCCTATAGCTGCCGGTGCAGCAAAATAAACAGCCATTTCACAATGATTATAAAGTCTGTGTGCTATACTACATTCTTTATTATTATTAAACGAAGTGATTAGAACAACGTCAGTCTACATTAATCGACACATTCCTAGGAAATAGTGGGTTCACAGCGAATTATCAGAACTACTTCAGTAAGACAGTAATATCGTGCTTTACCTGGAAACCTAAAGCTGCACTGGTGTACATCACATATTAGCACAAAAACTTTGAGCACTCAATTGAGAATGTACACATAACGTATCAATCGTAATTACAGGTTGTGCTTCGGAGAGCTTGTTAGTCCAAATGAAGAAGATAGAAGAAGCCAACGAAGATAAAAGCCAAGATTAGAGAAGCAGTCCTTGGTAAAATGACATGCACACAACAAAAGGTTCGAATTGTATTGCTGTGATATTGTGGAACACAGCTTCTTCTCGATATGATGTAAACACACTAACTAGCGGAAGTGTTTGTGGGCAGGTCAGACTCTGTTCGTATTTCGTGGGCAGGCGGGGATTATGCAAATGTGTTACCCAGTGACGTATACCGGTAACAAGCAAAAGATTCGAAAAAATGACGACTCGTTAAGGCGATTCAGAATCGACTCTCTCTTTTGAGAGACAATATCTTTATTTATCATGCACTTTTTTCATTAACAACTTTGCAGATTGTTTTCATTTAAGGATAGCTACGTTATAAATAGCAAAAGATATATTTTTCAAAAACCCATATGACCTGCTCTTTAATGCTTTGGCAGATACACTTTTCCTGCAGCAGCTCACTCTGTGTTCTCTGCCATATTTCAGATGCATTTTGACCATAGGAATACATTATTCACTACTATAAAATGGCATGGCTGGTGAATGCTTTCTGTGCACAGCATGCAGGCACAGTTATCAATGATCAATTCGGTCATTTTCATTATCGATTATTATAGATTTTATTACTTCTTGATGCCCTACATCTGTGCCATAATGTTGCTTACTACAAAAATAATTTTCACTCATCCTTACACTTTCCTTTAAGAGACATTTTTGTAAAAGCATATCATTTGTAAATAGGGATATGCCGGTATCAAATTTTCATGTTGCGATTAATTGCTAATGCTTTTATCACGGTATACGGTATTATCACGATATTGAGATTTAGTTTAAAAAAGTGCTGTCATAATACAGTATAACAGGTTTAATAACTTTTTTCTTATAACAAAAATAACTGAACATTTAAATGCAATAAAGCAATACAGAAATGTATAAAGTTAAAAGTTTTACACAGATTAAAGTGCAAAAGAACTATAAAGACCAATAGGTATCACTTTACAATAAGACCTCATTAGTTAACCTTAGTTAATGCATTAACACTCACAATGAGCAATAGCTACATTTGCGACAGAAGTTATTAATCTTTGTTTAAAAAAATACAAGTCTTAGTTCATGTTAGCTCATTAAATAACACAGCTGCAACTCTAGATTTGAACATCCTGTTATTAAATATTGGAATACCTAAGATTAATGAATGTTCAGAAGAATTTTTCATTGGCAGTTTATGTTAACTAATGAATTAACTAATGTTAACTAATGAAGCCCTAATGTAAAGTGTGACCGAACAATAAAGAATCAAAACACTTTCAAACAATATCTAGGGCATGTTGTAGTCCAGATTAAAATGTAAAAAAAAGTTTGAAAATAAATAGCCTATTAAGTCTAAATATGTAAGTATGTGGCGCTGTGATGAACATCATAGCAAATACACAAATCTGAATGGCTGTTTAAATCATTTAAACACCTTTCAGAAACAGAAAGTAGTGCAGCTGCTTTGTTTACAGGGTTTCCGGGGTAAAGGCTGCATTTAAATGAATTATTATAATAATTATTATTATTATTTCTGCAGTTTAGCGCCATCTGCTGTCAGAGAGTGAAAGTGCGCTTTCATCCAGAGCGTCTCTCACATGTTCCGCCATGTGCTTCTCGTCCGCGCTTGTTTACATCAGAGTGCGCACGCGTCTTTCACGCAGCATACAGCGGTGTTGTGCATTTTGACCAGTTGATGGGAAAAGTATTCTTAAAATGCATTCAAAATTCGGAATAATTTGTAATATATAATTATTCACGGTATTTAGAAGTGCCCACGATAACAATATCGTGCATATTCATTACCGTGATATATCGCATTACCGAATACCGGCACAAGTCTATTTGTAAAACACTAATTCTTCTGTTTAAACATGCATTTTTTTTGAGTGTTTACTTTTATTGTAAGAGGGGTTTGCATTCCAAGCAAAAATAATATTAGAAAATCACTCGGTATTATTCGATTATTATTCGAAAATCACACCCCTCCCCCGCATGCACGCACAAACACCCATAAACAGAGAGAGGGAGA